AAATTACTATAAAAGAAAATTTTTTTAAAAAAAAGTTGTATATAGAAAAGAGTTTGTAATTTAATAATTATTTTTATATTTAACTAACTAAATTGATATATAATTATTAATTATAATAAGATATATTTAAAACTTTAAGATTTTAAGACTTGTTATTTGTAAAAATTTTTAATTTTTTAATTAAATAATATTAGATTAATTTTTTTTAAATTAAATATTTTAAAATAAAAAACATTTTAAGAAAAAACTTATATATATATATATACAGAGAGACCTCCCTAAATATACCCTCTATAAATGTACTTACTATATTTTCTCTTTCTAAATGCACGGTCAAGCTTGATCCCAAGTACATAAAACTTTTAATAAAATTATTTCCATAAATGCACCCTCTCTATAAATGCACATTTTTCAAAAAATTTTCTATGGTTCCGAGGTATATATATTTAGAGAGGGTTTATTGTATATATATTTTAAGGTGTAAATATGGATCTGCAAGGTTTTTATTGATAAGTACCTTATACCAATTACAATTGCAGTATTAGGACTCATACAAGTCAGTATATTATATACTCTATATAGATTATTCTAATACCCAAGAACTTATCATCTTAAACAATTTTCTACATAACACTAGGTGGGAACCTATAGGATATAGAAATCCTATCACTAGTTTAAACTATCTAACCTATATGGTTTAACTTTGTCCAGAGGTGATTTGATTAAGAAAGTTAGTTCAAGTGTCTCTTTACCTTGTTACCAGATCTCAAATTACATTTCCACTGGTCTATAGCATCTTCAATAAAACTGTAATTCTTTTCACCACCTGCGGCTAGTTATTTTTCAAACTAATTAGGCTCTGCACCAGATTGGAATATTCTAGCTAGGGTTTTAATCACCATTAAAAGGAAAGAATCGAGATTTAATTAGGATGGGATACAGCCCAGTTTGTATACTCAAATGTAAGGAGAGTCTTGATTAAGAAAGTTAAACACATGCCTCTTGGCTTACCATGTTGTTTAACTACCATTGGCATGCTTCTGGCAATCATTGTAGCACCATCCAGATGATCATCACGCTATGACACCTTTTCTGAAGATTACAATCCCAACACTCACTAGATCAGCATGTGAAACGGCTTCTCATGAGAAACAGTATATAACAGATTATGGTGCCAGGTATCATGTAAATTCTATTCAATTGCCTTTACCTGGAATTAAACTGGTATCTTTTAATCTGACCTGTAAAGTGTTAACTACTATACTATAGATCCACAGGTCTTTAATTTAAGTAAAATTATTTACTTGATTGAATAAGATAACAATAAATTAGAAAGTTAATAAAATAATATTAAAAAAATTATTTATTAATAAGAAAAGAAAAATTGAAAAATAAAATAAAATAAAAAAAATTAGGTTTAAACTTGTAATTACTAATTATATATAAAGTTTTATAAAAAAAAAATTAATTATTTAGATTTTATTTTAAATTATTAAAATTTATAAATTTTAATTTATTTATATTTTTCTAAACAAAAATACTTTTTAGGATATTATTGTATAATTAATATTATATATATATATATACTTTTTAAAAAATTAATATTAAATATACAAGAAAAATCATAACATAAATAAAAGGACAAATCTTAAAGGAAGATACTACTCTATCAATCCAAACAATGTTTTGTCTAAGTGCAATGGCTGTCCACTAGGATTATTCTCTGCTGGCTTTTGCACATTGTCTTTTACAAGCCCTACAGCATCGTCATTATGAGTAGTCTCAAACCCAACAGTCCAAATAAAAATTGACTATGCAATATAATCAGCAAACTGTTAATCATATCATAACAAGAAAAAGATATTCTTCAATTCATCGAAAACTTTTCCATTTCTTCTTTCATTTTTATACTTCAAAGAATTGGCTTCTGCCAACAGTACCATCTCCAATTTCATCAAAACAAGATCTTCGCAAACAGTACAAAAATTATTTCAACTAATCCAGAACATCTTCTAAGAGACTTTCTTCATATAATAATAGATATTTTGCACTGGTGTTCATCAAACTGTATTATGGAAATAAAAAGCAACAAAAAATTCTTCAAGAAGTATCCAACTATTCGAAAAGAATGACAAAAACAACTTTACTTCAATAATATTAAGAATTAATAAACTAATACAAGACAAATCAATTCAAATTAGATATATCACTTCCAAATTCAATTCAAGATTTGACAACATTCTTTAATGGATCAAGCTGCTACTTCACTTCTCTAAAAATTCTTTAATTAACAATCTGCAGTTAGGCAGCAGTGTCAGATAGTGCAAGAAAATCCTAAGCATCATCAAGACCTACATAATCTGTGAAAGCTTATCAGTTCTAAAAACATTTGGTTACATCCACAAATCTTACAATCTCAAGATCATCAACAAATCCAATCAAAAAATAAAGAATTTCAAAGCCAATAAGTATAGCAATCTTATTGTCTTTAAAATTAAATTGTTTTCAGGAACTCTTCCTATAAGAGAAAACCTTTACAAACTATATCTAAAACAATATCCTAATCCATATTGTTCCTGGTATAGTTTACACACTGAGAATATCAAATATGTCTTCAAATAATCATCAGCTTCAGGAAATATTAACCAACTTATCAATACTATCAACAATATTTTTCACCTCAATGGCAACTACAAGCCAATCTTACATGCCTAGCAGTTAGTAGAACTGGCATGCAACATTATTGATAATATCTTTTTCAATATCAACTTCTCCAACTGGATTAAATACTCAACTAAGACCTTAACTTGTCTATATAAAGCAATCTGGATACCTCACTGTGTCACAACAAACACCTCACCCTTTACTGGTATCAAATGAAACAATAACTTCTATAGTAATATATCAAAACAAGTGATCAAAAACCCAGTTAAATCTAAATCTCTCAACAACTTCTCTACTTCAATATCAATTATTATAGATTTATCTATATTAATTTTTATATTCAAAGTGGATTTAATTTCACTAAGTGTATTTTCAAATTAATTTCGGATTATCTTAATTTTCTTTCATTCAATGCTAAGTAGGTAATCATAGCTGCTCAAAGCCTCTTGATAAGATATATTGTTTTAAAATTTCTTTTCAATATTAGTCTAGTAGTTACTATAGGCAAGCTAGCATTTAACTTATTATATTATTACATATAATAAATGTTATTTCTTTTATAATATATACCTATTACTATACAAATTAAATAAAGAAATAATGTTTACCTATAAAAAAAAAAAATTAATTAATATATAATAATTAAAAGAGTTTTATATAATATCAATATATTTAAAAAAGTTTTTTAATAAAATAAAAATAAATAAATAAAATTATTTTTTAATTTTTTAATTTTTTTATAAATTAATATGTAATTATTAAATAATTTATTTAAAAATAAATCAAATTTTTTATATCAAATAATTTTTTAATTTTTAATTTAAATATATACAGTAGTATATAATATTTTTTGAACAAATTATTTTTGTTATAAATAAACAAATTCTTACTTAAATAATTTTAAAATTTAAATATGTTTTTTAATAATTAAAAAATAGTTTATTTTAATTTTTATAATCAATTAATATAAATTTTATTGTAAAATTAAGTTTTAAATCAAAGAATCTCAAGTTTAAAATTTTTTATAAATTTATATATAAATTCTGGTTGAAAATATTTTATTTTTATTATAATAAAATTTTATAATAAATTAATTAAAAATTCAAAAAAATTATTTGAAATAAAAAATTTTTATCAAATGTTTTTTATAATATAGAAATTACATTATTAAAATTTCATATTTTTTTATTTTATAAAATTGATATTTTATTAATTTATTTATCTTAATTAAATAATTTTATAATATAAAAATGATTTTATTAATTTTTTATTATCAACTTTTTATAGTTTTTAAAATTCAAAAAATTTTTTAAAAACATTTTTTCAAATAAAATTTTAACAAAATTTTAACAATATATTATATAAATAGTTATTAAGTAAACTTGTTCTTTATAGTCTCAAATATATTTAAACAATTTTTTATTTAATTTCTTTAAATAATTATTGTTTATCCAAAAATTTTTGATCACTATTGTATATAGTATTAATTTATAAAATATTTTTAAACATAAAATTTTTTGATTTTACAATAATTTTTATAATAACTAATTATAAAAATTAGAATAGACTATTTTTTAACTATTAAAAATATATATATTTAAAATTTAAAATTATTTATTTATAATAAAAATAATTTGTTCAAAAAATATTAATCACCATTATATATATATATTGTAACAAGTATAAATAATATTTTTTATTGATATATAAAATATTCAAAAGTATATTAAACATCAAATTTAACATTAGCCTATAAATTTAAGTTGATATAAAATTACGGTATATTTTTTATTTTTTTATAAATAGAAATTATAACAAATGTTATATATACGTAATAATATTATAAATCAAAAATAATTTATTTTATTAAGACTACAAACCATATTCAACTTTAAACTTAGAACCAAATAGTTATTATTATTTATTTTTTATATATTTATATAATAAATTACAATTGGTATTTATATTAACACATCAATAAAATAAATAAACACTGATATGAAAATAAAATATTGCTTTCAATATGATAAATTTGAAAAAACTAAAGTGGAAATCTTTACGCATTGAAAATCAATTTCTTTATCTCGGCAAATCGTGTCAATACCTGAGCTTACTTATAATTTTTTAATGCATTACGATTCAAGTCTGCCAATAAAATTTTTTTCTTGAATGCTCTGCAATCATGCAATTGTCTAACCTTAAGAATATGATTGAAAAATATTTACAATTAAATAACTATCTTCTCTATATAAGGTATAACCAAGGGTAACATATGTACTTTTTTTTTTAAAAAAACAACTTTTAATTTTGTTATAGCAGACTTTTATGGAAACGAATCAAACAAACTTTTGGTTTATAAATTCTTTCAGATCCATCGATTCCACCTAGGAAAACGAAAATAATATTAATAGAATGATAATAGCAATGGTCTGTATCATTGTGAAATATGCCTACCCCACATGTCAGGACATATTGCATACTCTTGTAATCGTCGATCACAACAAAATATCTGTATGATTCTCGATGTAGATAGTATGCTTTTGTCATAGAGCTATAGCAGTACGAACTACCGTCTATCAACTGTAATTTTGGATGGTATTAAAAAAACAAAATCGACGTCACTCAAAATACAAATATATAATAAATATTTACGTCATCTGCTAGCTCTTTTTCATCAAAATATCTAAATTTCAACTCGACTACCCCTCGGTTAAGTTTATCTCTCGCGTTTTTAATTCTTTATTAAAATTTAATAATCAATAATTAAGTCTTGTTAAATAAAGACTGAGCACACACGTAAATAATATTTTACCTTTGCTTGATATTTGCATTGTTACAACTCTCAATCTGGCTATCCAAATACTTGAATATTTCTCCATGAATTTTGCAAATCCAATTAACATTCTGTGACAAATAAATAATTAGCGTTGAGATATATTCATTGTGACACTGGCAAATATTCTCTCATACCTTATTCAGAAATCCCTTTACGATCTCTACAATATTGTCATACATTAGCAATGCTCTCACAGTTATTGTAAGGATACCTCCAGAGATCAGAATTTCCTTTGGGAGAGTCTCATGAAACAGGTAAAACTTAATTCCTTTTCTGTATTTTAAGGAAATAAAATGTTTAAAAAGGGGCGAAAGAGGAGTTTCCTCGAAAGCCTCAGGGTGAATCTGAAAATAAACAGAAGTGAATTCATGCACTACATAAGTTCGAATCAAACTTTAGCTACCAACCATGACTATTTCAAGATGTGGATCTTCAATGTACGTTTCGATAGCTTCAAGGAAATGCAAGAACCTTAAAAGATTATCATTTTCGATAAATTTTTTCCCAATTAAAATATACTTTGAGTCTGCGAAAGTGGAAAGCATGTGCGTCGACCAATTGACGAGAAAGTTTACAGGGAAAACATATTTCCGGTAGCCAACCAACAAAAAGACTTCATGAGGTATAGGTATCCTAAGTTGATTGCATAATGAAGGCCTAGTTGGAAGAAAGAATCCTGCCCATTCATCCAATAGGAAAAAGGAAACCTATAAGAAAAAGAAAATAAAAATTAAGTCGACCTCGATAAAATAAAATTCTCGCGATTAGAGGTGTAAGTATGCAAGAATACCTGATCTGACTTTCTAAGTTCCCGAGATTCATGATCAAGATCATTTGAAGTTGTCGGCGGGGCTGTTACAGTAAAGATTGTGTAAAGTGGATGATTTGATCGATCCTCAAAAGTTCTTTTCATATCTTCTTCAAATATACGCCACAAAAATTTCATTGGTTGAGAGGATTCAATTACAACGCTCTCCTTTTCTGATAAGGCTTCCCTAAAAAGTAAAATAAATAAAAAACGGTGATCAGAACAAAGATGAAATGCAGATTTTGACAAACCCTTATTTCAACACGACTCACATGAACTTGAAGTCAATTTTGTGTTTATTCAGGAGATTTAACCCTATATCACTTATGAACTCTAGTTCATTACTATTTGAGATTTTCTTTTGGTACAGTTTCCACATCTTCCGGGTTCCTATATTTGAACTATTGTGCCAAATTTTGTTGAAAATAATTAGATTAAACTCGAAAAGACGAAAAACCCTTATTCCCAGTGGAAAATAAGCTAATACTTTATCCCCCGTTCTATTCGGTTATCTGGGTTCCACGATGAGATTGGATTGGAGTTTAAATTTGAAAAATTTATATTCGCCTCTTGAAGTGATTTCAGCAAATCTTCTTCTCGCCTGATTTTAGATAATATTTCTGATAAATCAAAATTAAGCGAGGGCGGTGCAGAATTTGAAATATCCGCATTCAAAGGATTCAAGGTAACCGAGTTGTTATTCATTGAATGGGAATCGTAAACTGGAACAATAAGGTAAGGATCATCAATGTTCCTTCTCAATTCATTGGATTGCCCTTGGGGTAAACCCGGAGAATAAGATTCTGAATCCTCTATTTCGGAATACAGTGAATCATTGTCCTCTTGATCCAAATTTTTCAGCTCTGAATGCCCAATTAAATATTTTTGAAATATTAAGATGGATTTTCTTAATAAAGATAATAGGCACCAATTATGAATTATCGAATAAAATTCTCATGATCCTTACGAGAATATTTCCTGGGCTTGATAGATTTTAGCTCTTCCCACATTTTCCGGTCTCTCTCCTCTTTCTCCCTCGCTTCTTTTTCCAACCTTTCTTGTTGAAGCTATATATTAACCCTTGTATTAGATTCAACTCCGTCGAATAAATTCGCTAGCGTTAAAATTAAATACTACTCACCATCCTTTCCTTTTCATCGTCATACCTTTTAATCATGTTCTTTGTCCTGGGACTCATTGGCTTGGGCCTTCTATTCTTATAACTAATCTTGTTTTGCAAGTCATTCAATTTTTTTTGAAATTGTTCTTCGGTGAATATGGGCTTGGAATGTTTACCCTTGACATCTAAATTTTTCGATGATATTCTTTCTTTATTTCTAATCAGGTATTCGCTTATTTTTTCTGGACAATTAAGGTTTCTTTGAGGCTCCCACGTGTTCTCATCCGAAGAGTAACCTAAATTATTTGTTTATTCATTTGTGTTTGAAAAAATTTTTCTCGAATTTTTTCTCTAAAATAGTCAAGTCTTTAACTTGCCTTTCCACTTGATGAGGTACATTCGTTTCCCTGTGATTTCATCTCTCTTTATGTCCAAGATTGCCTCAACTTCATATTCATCAGGTTCGAGTTGATCCGACTCTTTCTTCGAATGTTTATGTTTTCGTTCCTTCGCAAGACTCCTGTGTAATCTTTTCTTTGGATAATAGGTTTCCTCGTAGTCACTGCTCTGGAAACGTCTCTTCTCCATGCTCATGATTGATCTTTGTTCGCAAGATTGACTATTTAATTATACACTATGAATGTCAAACCACTTCACAAAATTTATTGCAAGTAAAAAATATATATTGTTTATTTTTGTGTTGGGGCGGTTTAAATAATCTTGGTTTTTTGAAAGATTCCTGTAAACGGTGTATACTATGAAACACCTTTATATATAAATAAAATTCCTCCTTTAAGGAGTTACAACTTTCGTGTTGTTGTTTTGGTTAAAAAGTAAATACCTCACAAATTAAAACGATGTCATTTATACATAGTATTTTTGGTATTGCGTATAAAAATTTGATCTACGAAAACAACCCGTGCTATGTACTACATGCATAATTCAGTCAATAACAAAAGGCGCGCTTTGGGTAGAGGCATTCATCCAAGTATTCATCCGATTATTATCTATCATATAGATAAGCGTGTGCTTGTAGAAGAAATGAGAAGTGGGCGTTTGTTCCATCGAAAATTGCATCATTATTCATGATGGTTCGTTAATTGTTATTAATCTGGTGTGAAAAAAAGTAACAGGTTCATGACACTTTTTTACCTTCTAATCACGTGAAGATAACAATCTTGGAGCGCGCATTATTACGCATGTCTGTACGGTGTATTTGTTTTATTGTTAGTTGAAAAGTTAATAAAAAAAAAATCTGTATTAATAATAAAGTTAATGCTTAATTTACAAAGTTTATAAATAATTTTTATAATAACATTTGTGTATTAATCTCATATGACTCCTAAATCGTGATCGGCAGGGACGGATTTGCATTATCAAATACTTAACCATAGGAATAACTAGACGAAGGAATTTCGAGTAGTAACCGGAATATGGGTTTCCTCACGTTTGGTTTTTTGGGTCTTCTGACTGCAGCTTTTGTCACTGAAACTCCAATGTTTGTCTTTTTCACTGCGGCATACCCGTTCCTCTACTTGGGAAACCTGTTCGTTCGACATAAGCGTTTAGCCTCGGCTCAACCATGGCCTGTCAATGAAAAAATAGTATTAATCACTGGCGCATCTAGTGGAATTGGTCAATCTTTAGCTCACGTGTTTGCTAAACGGGGTGCGACACTCATACTTTGTGCCCGTCGAGAAGATATGTTATCAAGTGTCGCCAATGAATGCCGTGAACTCAATTCTTCTGTTAAAGTCTTGACCGTCAAATGTGATGTGACCGATGAATCCGATGTAGCTCGTCTAGTGGAGACCATTGAAACCACCTACGGTCGATTGGATTGTTTAGCGCTGAACGCAGGGGTTTCAATGGGAGAAGATTTTGCAGAATTAAAAGACTATAGTGTGATTAAGAAGGTTATGGACGTTAATTACTATGGATGCACCAATGTTACGTACAAAGCGTTGCCACTGTTGAAGAAGAATAAGAAATCAAGAATTTTAGTGACTAACTCGATCAGCGGAATATTGGCATTGCCAAGCCGATCTGGGTACGCGGCCGCAAAGTTTGCAGTCCGTGGATTCTTTGATAGTTTGCAAGCGGAACTTTGGAAAGACGAAATCTTTATTACATTGGCTTATCCGGTGACATAGTATCTTCTTAATTTATCCAAAGATCATCGGATTTTACAATACAAATACTGATAAAAACCCTTTCCCACTCTCACAGGGTCCCGTTAAAACTGAGATCAACAAAAATCGACTAGGCGATGATCCGAAGCAATTGGATTTTACCAATGCGATTACATCCGAAGAATGTGCTCAAGAATTGGTAGAAGGCGTTCTTCGGGGTGATAAGGAGGTCATATTTACAAGAAATGGAAAACTTGGTAGACTGATGGAAGGTGTGTTTCCGGATTTGACAGCGTATTTGGTAGACAGAAATGCAAGAAAACATCTGAACAAATAACTCGAAAGGTACAATTATGGAACCGCTAATGGTTTAGGTAAGCTGAGCATGAAATTAGACAGGCTATGCGAAAATACAAAGATATGCAAAGGTTAACTAATTTTGAAGAATGTATCCAATTGAAAAAAAGATTAACATTCGTCTATTGGACTTTTGCGAGAGTTAATTTAGTATCAGTTATCTAAACCTCACGAGGAATATACTGTATAAATCCTATTCTCAAATCGCTATTAAATGTGCATCATAGCTGCAATAAATTGTTAAACTCATCTTTTTACAAAGGATAAAAATTTCTGATGCTTTTTCTGTTATCGAAAATTTAAATCAATACCCATTGATTCAGTGAATTTTTGATATCGTGTAAGTTGTATGTCATTGATCGAAGGTTTGAAGTTCGAAAGTGCTTCTAGTAAATCCACACGATCAATTGTTTTCTTGAAAAAAAAAAGAAAAAGGATATTCTTTTGTTAATTCGAATATCTAATTTTGTACATGAATCTGTAACCATTATCATTCAGTTGAATATAATCGAGAGTATACCTCCTCTTTATTATCACTCTTCCTAAACTTTTTGAATGCTAGCAATGCAGCTCTCTGCACCAACCCCTGAATATCAGCCCCAGTGAAATTTACTGTTTTTTCCGCCAATTCATCAATATCGACGTTATTTGAAAATCGTGTTTTTGCATTGCTTAAAATTGTAAAAATTGATTTTCTTTCCTCAAAATTTGGTGGTTGGACGTACACAAGCCTATCCAGTCGACCTATGCGACGAATTAAAAAATAAAGTCATGGATATAGAGATTACCTCTTAAGTAATTAAGTACGATAAACTTACCTGATCTGAGCAAAGAAGGATCGATTGCTTCAGGATTATTGGTTGCTGCAAGAATCACCACCCCTTGGTCGACTAAATCGAGTTCATCTAATTCCAACAATAATTGTGATACTAACTGTCGCAAAATAAGAAAAACCCGCAAGTGTTTATTATATTTCGTGGATTTTATCGTTCCAAGATTAGCCTTAATCCAAATGCTTGTCTACCTTTCTCCCAAAACTGCTGCTAGATTCTCGATTTCCAAACAATGCATCCAACTCGTCCAGAAAAATTATACATGGACTACATCGGCGTGCTATTTTGAACATGCTTGCAATTATCTTTTCGGATTCACCCACCTGAAATGACTAAAGTTAGAAACTTTCCTAGCTTTATATAAGCATATGTAGCAAAAAAGGTTATAATGATTCTTTTTTACCTCGCTCTTAACCAAATCCGGAATGGATACTGGAATAAAGTGAACTGATGACTCGGTGGTAACAGCTTTGGCGAGTAGTGTTTTTCCTGTTCCGGGAGGACCATATCTAAATTATTTTAATTTATACGTTACAATCATCATTATTCCATTGATTACAATTGTTTTTCGCGAAATTACATACAATAGAACACCTTTTGATGGTCTAATACCTAAACGACGAAAGGCGTCAAAATGTTTGTACATCCAAATCACTGATTCTTCCAATATTTTCTAATGGAGAAACGAAAATTTTGAATCGACTGATTGAGAAATAAAAGTACAGTATTGTTCACCATTACCTTTGCTTCATTCAATCCTCCAACATGATCCCATTTCACCGAATCAACCTTTTGTGCGCTATTTTTTCCTTGCAAACTGCTAATCCTAATTTTCTTAAAGCTATCAAGAAAATCTCGATTCAATATTCTCGACTGCCCTGGAACACCTACATTATTTGGATTAACAACAATGATAATAATTAGTAACAGTAATAAGGAAAGTTCAATAACAAACAAAATTCAAGACCTGTCTCTTGAATACTGCGAATATCAGCCATCTCTGAAGCCATCCTACATAAACAAACAATGTCGGCCGCCACAAATCCATGACACATCTCATTGATTTCATGAACATTTATATCATTATCGAGGTCCAGAACCTTTGTATAAGTTCCAAAGATTTCTAGACGTTCTTTAGGAGTTGGAATTTCAATTTCAATTTCATCCTAAAGAAACAAGTTCTATTATAAATACCACGCTTTAATGAATTATCGCTGGTTGATTACTTACTTGAAATATCGTTCGAACTATTGGATTTACCAGATTAGCATTTGTTGTGATTCCAACCTGTGAAATCAAATGAAATATTATTATTATAAAGAAACCTTAAAAACACTAAATTAAGATAAAGCTTCCTACAACTAACACGGCCACATCTTGTGTGATATAATTTTCTATTAATTCACAAAAATAAAAAGGGAGTAAAGGTTTTTCATCGATCGGAAAAAACAATTCGATATTTTCTAATAGCACTTTAAAATGTGGAGCAGTAAGACCTCCAATTAAAAAGAGCTTTGGAATGTAAAGTTTGAGGAAGTACTTACATACGCTAGGTTGATTTTTTCGAGCCAACAGGAAATAATGCCATAACCCTTTTTCCGTCTCAGCCGGAAATTCCGCAGCCAAGTCCCCTATGGTCAAATCAAACAACTTTTGACGATGAAAATTACAATTAACTTCTAATGTGTGATGTCTATTTATTACAGTAATCAAGTAAATTTATACAATACTTTTGCTTGATATTTGGAGCATAGACTACGAATTACATGGGTCTTTCCTACGTGCAAGGTTTTTTAATTCACGTGATTAAATAGGTGAATTGCTAAAATTACATAAATACCTGTACCAGATGGACCAGATAAAAGTATTGATCGTTGAACACCAATATTCGCAAGTAAACAAATTTCTCGAGAGCGAAACGAGAGCAAGAATGTTTGCTCAATTCTACAGATTGTATCGAGCATGCTCTTGACTTTACATACAGAATTAGACGATAATGATAATCGATAATCTCCAACCATCTCATTGGTCCGTTATCTACCTAAGTTATATTTCCCTTGTGCATTACATCCACATAATTTCTAACCCACACGAAAATATATAGAATTCTCGATCATTAGAATGGTATGTCTCAACTTTACAAAGAAACGATTTATATTTCAATTAGATTAAATTATATTAGTCCGTACAAGTAAAAATCACGTTCTCTGGTTCTGAGTCTTCCAGGTTAAGATCTTTTGCAATATTTTTTAATAACATACAAAATGTCTTCAGCTACAACTGATTATATCAGCGAAACCTCAAATGTAACATCTGATGCTATTGCGATAGTACAAACCTTCACAAGCCAATCAGCTGTAGTAGCCGATGCAATATCACCATTCATACCATTGGTGGCTGAAGTAGCAAACTTAGTTAACGAAATCATTCAAATATATCAAACAGCTGAACATAACAAGCGAATCTGTGGCTCATTGTTGTCGCGTGCCACCGCAGCTGAGACCTCCGTAAACCTTTTGAAAATAAGACGTTCAGAATATGAAGAATCCTTCAAATCAAAGGAATTTTACATTAATCTTCAGAAATTGGTGACTGTCATTGAGAAAATTAAAAATTTTATTAAAGAAGTATCGCAGATTAAAGGATTGCGAAGATTTATGTCTGCAAGATCAATTGAAGGTGAATTTCAAGATTTAATCGAAGAATTTGATGGGTTGATGAGAGTCTTGAATTTCACCATGGCCGTAAAAAATCAGATCCAGGCGGAGGAAGACAAGAAAGTCCTTGATCACGATATCAAGGAAATGAAGAAGGTGATATCTTTAAAGTTCATTTATTTTTTTTTATTATGCATATCTATTTTTACTTATATTATTTTTATTATACGAATTTTTTTTCGTACAATAGTATCTTAAGAAGATTAAAGGTGGTATTGTTAACAGTATGTCAGAAATCAACGCTTCGTTAGATGACATTGCACAACTAAATATTGCTTGGCAAAAGAAATTATTTAACGATGACGGAAACGTGCTGGAATCTGTAACCATAAATATGGGTGAATTTCAGGATCCTCCAGAACAAATAAGACGAGGAAACAAGGTGCATAAAAAAATACGAATGGGCGAAGAGGTTGCGATTAAAGAAATAATTCTGATTAATAATGATAAGAGATTGATAAACGATATAATTAGTCAAGTAGTAATATTAAAGAAGCTTAAAGAGTCACAATACATTCTTCAATTCTACGGTATCACTAAGGATGCCAATGCAATTTATATGGTTTCCGAATGGTGTGAATATGGGAATCTACGAGAATTCTATAATGAGTATGGTCCACTTGAATGGCGTACAAAATCTCAACTAGCAGTTGATATTTCGCGTGGATTGACCTTTCTTCATGCGGTTTCTATATTACATCACGATATTCGTCCAGAAAATATCCTTGTATCAATTCACCACCAGGCGAAAATTGCAAATTTTACTTTGAGCCGTGGGTTCGCGGATCCAACTAGAGATATATCACCAACTATAGGAACAATCAAGTGGATGGCCCCCGAAAAACTGAGGGATCATCGTAATCCGTATACAATCAAATGCGAGATTTATAGGTATTTAAATCTTTGGAGAGTACGAGTATATCATCACTTGACATTCAGTCATTTCTCTTTACGAGACAATTATTGATTAAAATGCATTCATAGTTTTGGGATATTATTATGGGAAATCGCTGAGGAAAAACCACCATTTCAAGAAGAACGTGATTTATTAGAGATTCGAAAAAAGGTGCTGGAATTAAAGATCCGACCATCTTTCAGTACCGATGTTCCTCAAGAATGGTCAAAAACCTCATATCAAGGTGATCTAGTGTAAACTACACTTGTTTCTACATCAAAAACATGTACAGTAGATCCGATACCCAAACAATTTTCTCATTGTTTAAATAGCAATGCAAGATAACCCAAATGCGCGTCCAGCACTCAAGGATATATTTATGGCATTACATAGTTTCTGCCAAAAATACCAATCACGATCTCCAAGACCTCATCCACCTGGTCGTATGCCCACAGAAGAGGAATTACCGGATGTTGACGAGGACTTGGCTTTAGATGATTTATCATTGAATGTGATGAGTTTGAAGGAAGCTATTACAGAACATAGGAAGAAGGACAGTGATAAATTAAAGGTCTGGGAGGCTTTTAAAGTACACGCCGAAGAATTTGGTGATATCACCGCGAGGTGATTGATTTTATTCAAGTTATTATTTATTTTCGCATATTTAACATCTCATATCCTTTATCTGTTAATTACTAATTATTACAGATACTGGATGGGTTATTATTTGTACTATGGTTTATGCCCGGTCGAGAATCCTGGGGACAAAGAAGCCAAAAAACAAAGGTTGAAACAGGCTGCATCGCTTTTTAAAGAGGCCGCGGATAAAGGAATTGTAGAAGCTCAATTGCGTTATGGTCATTGTCTGTGGTCAGGCGAAGGCGTCCAGCGTAATTACAAGGAGGCTATTGAATATTTCGCTCAATCAGCTGACAATGGAAATTCCACCGCAATGTATAACATAGGAAACGTATATTATAACGGGCTGGCAGTACCAAAGGATGAAAAGAAAGGAGTCAGGTATTTGAGGTTAGCTGCCCTACAGGGGCAAACCAAGGCTTTAGATATGTGCAAGAAAAATGGAATTCATTTGGCTTAGTGGATTGGAATGATATGTAGTATTCTATCAATATTATTTATCATCGTGGTCGCTGTTACTAATGCTTTCAATAAAGTTTGCTATCACAAATAGACGAAAAACAACAATTTTCGAATTACTGTATAAACTAAATATCTATGTTGTCCGTGAAAAAAATCCATTTTCAGAAATACAATAGTAGGTAAAAACTAATATTTGAGTTAAGTTAAAGAATATTAATATATTTCATATTAAAAGTTAATAAAGTTTCGTTTTAACAAAAAATTTTTTATAATAGAAAGCTTTGAATTATTAAATTCAAATTAATTTTATATATAATATAAGAAATATTTAATTATTAATTAATTGAAATTTATACATAAAAAAAAGATAATAAATTTATATATGAAAAAAAAGATAATAAATTTAAATTAATACTTGATAATAAAATTATTAATTAACTAATAATAAAACTTCAATAATATTATTACTATATTCATAAAAATATTTTTAAAGTTTTATTAAATTCAATAAATATTTATTAAATTATCATAAAAAATATTATATTATATTATATATAAACAAATAAAATTATTAATTTAATAAAAATTTTTTATTAAAAATTTTAAAAATAATTTATAAATAAATATAAATCAATAAATAATATATATATTATTAAAGTTAGATTAAAAATCTTTCTTATATAATTTTTTCTATTTTAATCTATTTTCAATTCATAATTATTAGAAAGATTAGAAATTCTATCTTAATACAATTTAATTGAATTACTCAGACAACAGTAATCAATCAATCTTCAACACACAACAAATAGTAGAATTAGCATGTGGAATCATCACAAATATATTTTCTACAGTGGACATTCACAACTGGATCAAAGTATCTACCAAAGCCTTTATATTAGCTTCGACGCGTCCACCAATCTAACGTCGCGTCATGCAATAGATTCCCTAAACTTTCCTCCCCACACTAATGCATCGCGCCATGTCACATGACTCGAGCCGATCCGGTCCCTTCTACCATTTCTCCTGCTAACAGTACATTGGATCTTATGATCGTAAACAATTAGGCATTACTAAGCAAACTAATTCGATAGGTTACTAAGTAATCGATATTGTACAGTAATTTACTGTTTTAATCGATTTCCCCACGAAAATGCTAAAAACGATGTGTCGGTGCATTTAGTTGAATCAAATGTGATAATGCCGGCCCGATGGATCTTCATAATTTTGGCAATCTTTGCTAGTTCAGATTTTTTGCGTTTATCATGAATGGTTGATTGACGATCAATTCAGAACTGCTTAACAAACGACAGAACAGCGTAGAATACAAAAATGCAATCAACCATTGTCACATTAGCAAGGTCGGCTTGGAAAGGTAAAGTTATGAGCGTTACAGGTCTAAAAACCGAAAGACAAGTGTTATTCGTTTTTTACCTACCCATTTCAAAAAATTTTTTTTCCTCGTGTTCTATATGATTAATGGGATCAAACGATAGGACCATTCATTGTACAAATTCCCGGTAAGTAAACATATCAAGGATTTTGAGATCAAAGTTCTTCACTATCTAAACACCATTCTGAAAATTTAGGTCTAAAACAGGCTCACGCTTCCGGTACGCCAATAAAAACTTATGCGAGAGCGTGCACGGTATTACCGACATTCGTGGGATTAAAATTTATGGTGCACAATGGTAGAGACTTTGTACCTGTAAAAATTACAGAAGAAATGATTGGGCATAAGCTGGGCGAATTTAGTCCGACAAGAAAGAGATTCACTTTTAGAAAGACTAAGAACAAGTAGTAAAAGTACACTTTCGGGAAAATTATGAATCACAATTGTGTGCGATTTGAATATAAGGTTTGAATAATCTGAATTGTAATAATTCGATTAATCTGAACTATATTTGAAAGGATTTAGAGAACGCGATCATTCCTTACACTAGAGATTACGGAAAAGCACAATATGCAAAAAGTGGATAACTTTATTGAAAATTCAAATGTTAATTATGATGCTTTTGTGATGTTTAAGCCAGTCATTTCGTAAATCCCTTTTTACGAGCATCTCATTGGGGAAAGAATTTTTACTTCGAAAGTAAAAAAGAGCCGTATTATGACATTTCTATTGGATAGATAAAAAGGCAAGAATGAGCAAATGAATTTCACCTAACAAAGATAGATAAACCCACTCCAATGCTTAACAGAAAATTTGATTTGGAATTTTTCGCATCAGAGTATGCATCTTAATATCATTTATTCTTTTTCACAACAATATCATATTTGGATTGTTCAAAAGTTCTTCATCATTTCAAAAAATCCCCTCGATTAATGTTAAATTCGAAAATTCACCTGTTACATCCATCGAGATAAGAAGTAGCCCTTGTTTTTTTAAAAAATATAATCATGCACGAACATTCTTGAAAACATTTAAACTTGTCTTCAATCAAGGTTGCTCACCATAAACTAGGAAAAGGAATCAACAATACAGCATTGAAGCACACTATCTCTTTTTTTCCGATCACTTTAGATTATCTTGTCATCTGATTATTCATGTGACTATTGAAAAAATAATTACGTAATATAATTGTTAATTTTATTTTTTCATAAATTTTTTTATATTAAGTTATGTATAAATGCAAAAAAAATAAAATAAATATAATATATTTTTTTTAGATTTTTTATATAATTTTATATTATCCAAAAACAAAATAATAAATAATTGAAATTAAAAAAGATTAATAAATAAACAAGATATCATTAATATAATATATTTTTAAATTTTTCATTAATTTGAAATTTATATTAAATATAAAAAAAAAATCAATACATAATTAAAAAATAATAATACATAAACTTAGAATTGATATACAATATATTGATTTTTTATATTTAAATTTATATATTATTTTTATTAATATAAATACATAATTTTTTATAGTTTTTATATAAAATTTTATTATTTATTTTAAAAATTTTAATAAAATATAAAATATATTGATTTTTTATATTTAAATTTATATATTATTTTTATTAATATAAATACATAATTTTTTATAGTTTTTATATAAAATTTTATTATTTATTTTAAAAATTTTAATAAAATATAATAAAATATAATTATTGTTTTTGATTTGTAATTAAATTAAAAATATTGTTTTTTTATGTTTTATAATATTATTTTTATTATTTGTATAATGATATTTATCAATTGTTATCTTGTTATAATATATTTAATACTTTTTTTTTTATTTACTGAAATAAAATAAACCAAGTATATTATTGTCAAATTATTTAATACTTTTTTTATTTATTAAAATAAAATAGATCAAATATATTATTGTCAAATTATTTAATAATTTTAAAGTTAACTTTAAATCTTTATAAATATAATTAAATATTTTTTAATTAATTTATTACAAAAATATAATCTTTATTAATTTATTTTTTATAATTATAAATATTTTTATCTAATATAACTATAATTTTTTTAAATATATTTTACAATTAATTTTTATTTACTCTAATATTTTATTATTTTATTATATATAAATATTTGTAACTATCAATAATATTTAATAAAATGTATTGTTTTAAAAATATTTTTTTTAATATTAATTAATTGGTTTTTATAAATAAGTTAATATTAAATATATTATATATATATTTAAGATATTGTTTTTTATAATATATACTTTTTATTATATAAACCAAATAAAAAAATCTTGTTATAAATTTTATATCAATTATTTATATAAAAATCAAATCAATAATTAATATTTACAGAAAATAAAAAAGTATATTATATATCATATCTAATAGTTTTTAATCATAATATCTTTATATATAAATTTATTGGATATTCTATATATGTTGTACTTAATAACTCTTAATTATTTTTTAATTCAATTAAATTGTTTTTGAGTAGGTAAACACCATTTCTTTATTTATTCGTATATTACAAGATATACATTTGGAAAGAAACAACATCTCTTACGTGCGATTAGCAGTAAGTTTAATGCTAGCCTGCCTACAGTAATCAT